GAAATTGTGCTCGTGAGGAGGAAGTGTAGCAGGGGAAGGAGAGGGGTAAATCAAGTGTGGATACTGGGAATCTATTACACTTTACTTCGGAAGGGTTTCGTTGAAACAATACGAAGTAGAAATGTCGCAACACCAACTCCGATCATTCAGCGCTTGGTATTGCTAGCAACAACCATACATACTGATGAATGAAGGCGATTTAACCAACTGTCATCTTTGGGTTATATTCACTGTCGTGTCGACCATTCCTTCCGTCTTGTAGATGCAGTTGCGGCCATGCATACTAACGCTATCGAAGGATTCTGAGAGAGATTGAAGAAAAGAAACAGGAATGTCAGTGGATCGCAAAATACCATGGTTTCTAGGCACATCGATAAATACATGTATCCAGTGTGGTATGGTTTCTCTGTTGATCATCCTTGGAATAAAATGGGAGAGGTTTATACAACATATTAGAGACCATTATCTTAATAAATGACATTTTTCTAAAGTTTTTGATTCATTTTTAACGATATTGACGGTTTCTTTGGCTAGTCAATTCCGACTGTTGTTCACGGTCACTTTAGCTTGGCTATGATAGTTTTACTTTGCGTTCACTCCACTGCGGAAGTTGCCAAACGGGTGGTTGAGGAGTACGCTTTGGATGAGAATGGGACATTTACTGGAAATTCTAAAGCTAGCAGCAAAGAATTATTAGTATTGACACTTGAGCAGTTGTGTTGGGTAGGAAGACGCAGCAAGCAACAAACAAGAATGTGTATATCTCTGAGTATGTTTCCAAGGTATACAAAGTGTGTTATTTTTGTCATGCGATTAGGAGGTGTCCGAAATTACCACTCCGGGCTCTACAGTGTCATCTTTATACAAACCTATCATGAATCGAACACAAGACCTTCGGTTTATCAGGCGAGGTTCGTCGACTATTCCAATACTAGCTCGGAATTCAATGATTCATGCATCCCAGCTTGTGATGATATTGGTTGATAATAAAATCTATATTAGATCGTGTCTAGGTATCTATCTCTCTATCTTATTTCACCTCTGTAAGATAATACAATGTAGACATGCTTATTTCAGTGCAGAGTGCACTGTGAACTCTGAACTGCACTGTCGTCTACATCAGATAGAAAATCTTCAGAAAATTATCCGATTTCGGAAAAGGGTGTCTGTCAGTCAATAGATTATCGTCATTATACATCGCAAACAGATGTTGAATCGTCTACAATGAAAACTTCGTCAAGCCCTACTATTATTTCGGTGTGCGACAGAGAGTCTGCAAAACCTAACCACATCCACTGTCGTAGTGTCGAATTAGGTGTATTATTTCAGTGGATATAGCAACACACGGAAAAGTGGTGGTGAACCACGACGGAAGTCATAATATTCTGCTTTCCATTCGAAGGATGCGGAATATTATTCTCAAGTATTGTATTGTATGTGACTGAGGTGAGTTGTCTCTGTTTTCTACTTTGGTCGTGCTATGCACCCATCCACTTGTAAAACACACTCGGTACAAACAAATCAGTAGTGTGTGTGTGTGTGTTATTGATGGCGAAGTTGAACTCTGATAGCCGAAGTGAAGATATTCCGAATGTTGACCTCCAAGAAACATCATTCATTCTAGGTCAAAGTGTTGAGCGTAGGCATAGTACTCTACTTATTCTACTTATTTCCTGGGTAATTCTGTAAATCTAAAGTGTTAAGTAGCTTTGAGATGAAGGTTAGGTTTGATTGTCAGGATTAGAGTTAGTGGATTAGGGTTAGTTTAAACAAGACTGTCAGGAATCATAATAATAATAATAATAGACTTCAAAGTAGAATGATCTACAGTTACATGGATTTATAAATGTATATATCAAACCATGGTGCATGGTATGGTTTTCCTATGGATTCTCCTTGGAGTCACATGGGTGGGGGAGACATTCTAACAACACAAAACAGACAATTATCCAGTGAAAAATCATCTCTGCAATGTTTCGAGTTGCATTTTTAACAACGTTGAAACTGTTTTGTATACGACCTATATGATTGATTGTTTGAGGTCACCAAGGTGTTGTCTGTGACAGTGTACTTTCACCCTATTTATTCAATTTCCTCAAAGAATGGAATAACATAATGAACTTCATTCAAGCCTCTTCCTCCTCCTCCTCCTCCAGTAACAGTCTCCTTAAAATCAAGGGAAATCTCAGTGTCATATTTTGCAAGAAACACGTTCAGCTACTTGTTGCTTATAATGTTGTAGCATTGTGACGGTGTGATACAGACAATGTGTTCCAACGGAATATTATTCACACAGTACAATACTGCATTGGCAACAGAATATACTATCGTTCGTTTCATGTAGACAAACATCACACACTCAATGATAGCTTAGAGAATATAAAACTGTATGTATATATTATACATAAATATAGGTTTGATCCCTTAAATATACACCTTGGCTTCCGTGTCTTGCTGCCCTCTTCTGCTGTTACAGTATAAACATGAAATTTCATGACTCGCATTAATTTAAGGCTGAAGATTTTCAACTGATGTGTGTTCTTTCGTAAGGAATTCAGGTGTGTAGGAAAACCGCTTGTTCATTAGTCGCATACTCATTCAGGTGATTTGATTCCCAGGTGGATTTTAGCAGAAATCAACACTAATTGAGAAACCTAGTACTTTTAACCTATACAAAACACTAGTCAGCTCATTTATCACTTGAGTCATTCCGCTCGAACTACTTACTACTATTATTATTACTAATAATACTATTATTATTACTATTACTATTATTATTATTATGAGTCGTACCATCTGACAAGCCCGTTATCAACGCCATTTTGAACGATATTCTCTAAAATACATGGTAAGTGAATCAATTGTTGTTTCATTGTAACTGAACCAGAGAAGCAGACACGACACAGTCCATGACACTGTTGTTAAACGACATCTTTGCAGGTCATTCAAGTAGAAACATTAGAATAGATTTGTACAAACACGAAGTAGTTTGCTACGCATAATCCAATGGCTTTTCAGAATGACTGATTGGCTGGCTTTATTACATATCCCGACTAATTGGCTCCTCTTAGTCCGTTGCTATGCCAGTTTAATGCCAAGTTATATTCTTATACGTTTTTTCAAATCAAATTTTCTATTAGAAATGTTTTGTTTCTGACTTACATTGTGTGGGTGACATTATATTCCTGAACTGTGTTACACATTTACTGCACTTTTATCGGAAAATGTAGTTTTGATACTGATGCTTGTGAAATAAACGGGATGGACTGAAGGCGATAGGCAGTATGTTCAAAAGTTGGACGTATATTTTTGACTTTTCATCAAATCGTACTGGTGGTATATTTTGGCCATTATTTATTGAAACTCGACAGTATCCAACGCATAAATCAGGTGGCGCCATTTCACAGAAGGCATATACCATATGAACGCCCTGACTTATCAACATGTCGCTTACTGCTGTCGGTCAGTCAGTCAGTCAGTCAGTCGAATTACTTTGTCTTTTATTTCTTGTCTCCCCTACTGCAAGCTTGATAGGGTAACTCAGGAAACTGTCCAGCTCCTTTACCGACACCGGGTCCTGGCAACGTTTAGCTAACTTAAATATCCCCATTGGATCAGATAAAAGAAAAGACATTCGATTTCAGTCTCAGGTTCACTTCGAAAACTTGAGACATCAAACATGTGATCTGATGCGAAGATGTGAAGAGAAAGTCGGCAACAATTCAAATCATCACTTCTTGAAAGTTGTCATAAGTTTATCAATACCAAACCAAACGGAGGGCCCATGTTAACCAAAACATTTAAGACAGTTCAACGTCTTACAAGCGAAAACCGACAAACTGGTCGAAGAAGCAGCAAAGACACGACTCCAGGTGAACATAGACAAGACCGAGGTTATGAAAATAACCAATCAACCAACAACAACAACAGCAACATCCAGAGCCAATCACCATCGACTCGTAGGATTTGAAAGAGGTTACTTCATTCACTTATCTAGGGAGCAATGTCTCAACTACAAGAGGAACGGACGAGGATGTCAAATCGAGAATCGGGAAGGCGAGAAACACATTCATCAACCTGAAACCAATCTGGAAATCTTCGTCACTCAACTCAGCATCAACAACAAAATTCGGATTTTCAATACAAACGTCAAGTCAGTCAGTTCTTCTATTCGGATCAGAAACTTGACGGGTCACAGAGAATATTTCCAACAGCCTGTTGCACACCTTTATCAACAACTGTCTTCGCTCTATACTGAAGATCAGATGGCCGGAAACAATCACCAACAAGAAACTATGGGAAGAAACAAAACAAGAACCAATCGCCCAACAAATATGCAGGAGAAAGTGGAGATAGATGGATTGGACACTCGCTGAGGAGGCCGCTGGGTGACATCGCGCGTCAGGCCATCACTCGAGTGGAACCCGAAAGGAAGCAGTGAGTGGGACGTCCAAGTGTGGGTGACATGGAGGAGATGGTGTGAAGAAGAGTTGAAACAGTATGGATTAACATGGAGACAGGTGAAAAATGCAACAGAAGAGAGAAGCAAGTGGAGACGTGCAGTTGAAGCCCTATGTTCCACTAGGAATCCAAGGGAACAATAATATAATAATACTGGAAACTTTCAATGATATACCATAATCAGGTGGGCTTATACACTTTGGTGAAGAGCACTTTCCCGCTTTCAATATAGTTGTCAACATCAAAGCCCTCACTCAACTCACTACAGTTAAGATGTAAAGATCAGATGTGCTGAACACCTCCCGATGTAAGACAATAATCAATTCTATGTGTAATATAATAATTGACGTGAAGATACAGTCGGATAAAAAGAGTAAAGAAGTGGATCAATTGAAAATGTATTTTGCACAGTGATCAAAACATTCCCTTAATTACAGCAGAGTGAACCAGCAAAGTGAGAGGAGGGTAGATCAACGAAAGAGGATTGAACACAAGGCGTTAGAAGTAAGAAGCAGTACTGTTGTTTCTTGCAATAAAAACAAAAAATAAACAAAGTTCCTCAATGTCTTGACGACTTGTTCATTGGTTGTCTGGCCGCTGGTGTCGTTGGTTGATTAAGACTGGAATCTGACCTTAGTTAATGGTTTGTGTTCACTGAAATTTTGAGCTACATTTTGATGAAATCTACTCCAACAACTAGGACAGAAATATTTGAAACATTGAAGTGCTTGGCAAAAATATATTCCAGGATACTTGAAACATACATTACAAAGAGTATTCTCCAGATACGGACGAACATGAATAGTTTTAGTGAATTTCGAAGTGTGAATGGTTATCGATTGTGTTATGACAGCTTTCAAATAACTTTCACTACTAGAGAAAATTACTCTCGCAGAACCTGAAATATGAAGAAATACACAGAATGATTAATGTTGCAAGTGCACTTTAATCTCCGAGTATGTATGGCAAATGCATGCAGAAAGCAGTGTATTCTATTATATTATATTACAAAGAAAAGTCATTTCAACTTATGGTCACTGCAGCCAGCTGTCAGAGAAGTGTTGTATGAATGTCATTAGATTCATTTACTCGCTGGAATTTCATGTAAATTCTTGAAAACTCTGTTGTACACCAAGTGTTTTCATGCACTCGTAGTCAACAGAAAACACAACACAGAAACCTTGACAAATATGTGTTATGTGTGACAGGACTGTTATCCAAACCTTGTCTGAAGCCTAATGATACTACATGGTCGGTCGCTGAGGTCGAACTTGATGGAAGTTGATTAGAAGCCAGTGTTGGTTGCTTCGATATCCTCAGGCTGATCTGAGCTATGAGCTATGCCTTCACTGACACTTCTTTGCTGCTTGCTCTACGCTGTACTCACCATTCACATTCATCACATTTATCACCACATTTTCCGTACCACCACCACCACCACCACTCCATTTTGATGAAAGAAATGGCACGCAATTGATTGTCAGATGTTGTTTGAGATGGTGTATCGTGTCGACTCAGTCAGCGATGTGTGCATTTGTTTACTAATTCTGTTCGTCCAAGGCATATAATGGTAAAACTTCATTCTACTGAACTTAAAGAAAAAACTCACCAGTAGGATATTTATACTGGTCTGTGTGGAGGGTTGCGGCGATAACACTTCCGAATAAATCATCCATGACTCTCACTAGACATTCCGCTGTAATTAAACCATGGAGTGATCCAACATATGCCGCATACACCATATTCACAGAACTGCCAGTTGGCCTGCAGTAGTGACTGTCATTCAGGTTCCAGGGTATTACCTAGAATTAGACAGAATGCAGAATGATGCAGAACACTGATTACCAATCAAATGTTACATATTTTTAAATTCCATCAGAAAGATATCACCCTCATACACTCACCCACTCTCATCATCACTCACTCACTCGTCAAGTGAGTTTATCCTTCAGACGACGGTCACAGTGTGCTCAATGTGGAGTGCTCAGCTTAAAGATAAACTGAGAGTGGTTGTGATGATAAGGGAAAGAGATTTTCAGTTGGACAATGTTAACAAATGATCAGACTGATACATGCATGAACTTTCACTTTAACAAACCGCCGATTATCCGTCCTAATCTCCTTCATCTCCCTTCAGTCGACACCATTGACTTGTAGACACGCACTTGACACGCACTCCTATTCGTCTATTTCTCCCATGCCTCTCCCACGCCGACTAAATTTACCCACTTCGGTAACATTGATTCTAAGGCAATAAATAATTCCACTGTGAAATTCCTACGAGTGTTTCTTCCAAACTGGCCATATCGTGTCACTTGTCACGAATTCTGTTTTTATTCGCATCAAAGTTATTGACGCATATTATGAATGCTTGTCTACATACCAGGTGGTGGTGAACTCATCTGTTAAATTTAACACGACAGTTATTCATTCTTTGCGCTTCTTCTTCTTCTTTCTCTTCTTGTCTCAAATATCCCACTCATCAATTGTATTGATACATTGTATTGTATAGTATATATGTGTATACTGATCCTAACACAGATAGATAGATAGATGGATGGATGGATGGGTGGATAGACAGACAGACAGACAGACAGACACACAGACACACAGATACCCACCAGATGGATAGCAGACACAGAGACAGACAAAAATGAAAGAAGCAAATTTATCTTGTGAATGTTTCCACTTGTAACCCTATGGGTTGGCAACATGCCTATTTATTTGCATATCACAAATAACCTACTGGACTGAGGAAGTCAAGTCGATTCATCGACAGTGTGTATCGACAGTTCCATGAAAGCCCCAAACATTCTTATCTCAGTGGGATAATGTTGCCTTTCAAGTTTCAGTCAGTGACACTGTGATTAGCGCACAACTACTAGACACAACACTGGTAAAAACAAATACGCGATTTCTGTGATAAAATATATCCCCACCTGCGCAATTTTGGACGGGAAATTGTACAGAGGAATTTTGTAACAATCTCCATCTATGTCGGGAATTAGGAAAGACTTTCTCAGCAGTTGTAAGACAGAGGCCTCCTCGTCAAATATCAAATAGCAGTAACCTAAAATATGAGATAATTTCAATGTCAGTGAAGTGAAGTGAAACAAAGTAGGCGGAAACGAGGCTTCTCACTGTTTACCAGTAAAATGACTCACCTCTGTTATTGCGCTCACTAATCAAATCATCACCACTTATTTTTGGCCAACAAATGGTTATTTCGCCAAATCTCGAAAACACTTCCCTTATTCCATTTTCGGTTATCCCGGAGGGTAACCCTCCAACAAACACTTTCTTTGAAACGTTTCCTGACTTCTTATATCGAAGTGGTAAACTTCCCGACCAATAACAAACACGTTCACTGTGCGTATCTGGAGTACCTGCAATGTGAAACATAATACTCGTCAGTTTCGCGTATCAGATAAACACATCGGTAGCTGACTGACGAGAAGTTCACTCGCCAGATAGTCAGTCAGTCAGTCATTTACGCACTCATCATTTACTCTTCCTGATTATTAGAGGGGAAGTGAACACAACGGTGTTTTACTCATAGTTGAATACATCAGCTAACGATCAATAGTCGCGTTAGGTGGGGGAATGCACGATTAGATTGATTTATATTCATTCCACTATTCATTCTACCGACAAGTGGTTTGTAAACCAAGTGATCATCTTTCGATTAAGTCCTTTCTACCTTCAAATGTTTGACGTATAAGATGCAGAACTAGCAGAACTAGCGACATGACTGACCAAAATGCCAGTGTCAAGGACACTCACTGGTCGGTCAATTTCACTTTTCGAAGGATATTTATTTATTCATTCCTTATTCTTCAGACTAACTGTTGATAATGAAATTTGCAGGGAAAGTATTGATGCCGCCAACTGATAAGCAAATTTATCCGTACAACTCACCTGATGGATTCTTGTAGACACTAGCAGCTATATCGATATCATTTGTGAATGATGAATTAAGCTGAGTCGTTTTCAGCTCAAGCTGTTCCTGGAATACTGTGAAGTACATTTGACCGATTGAAATGAAATGTTCAAGTGAGACTGAGCTGCGTTCTGAAAATTTACTAGCATTTCAGCACTGTTCGGATTCATAGAAATCCTTTCAACAATTCAGTCGTCTTGACTTCATCAGTACTCAACTTTGTCATCACACTGACCATCTCATCATATCCAGATGATGACGAAGGATTTTGCGGTGCAGTGGTTCTCCGGTTACGCGAAGCATTCACTGAATTCTCAATAATCTTGTTCCCTCTATGCCGGTCAACTAAGTGTCTGTCATGGGAGTTGTTTTCAGCAAGTATATGTCATGTATTTGAGAGAAGATTTCAGCAGAAATATTCTCAGCTGACGTACTTGTAAGCCACGCGTGATTCAATGACCGCCAGTCAGTCTGGGAATGAAGGGAGGTTGTGCGTTAGGCTAGTAACCTCATCGCGCGAAATCACACCACTGACTCTCCTCAAACTTCAAATCTCAAAGCTTGTAGCCCGACGCCCCAATCGGAACTCAAGTAGTCACGAAAAATGAGGCATGCGTTAAGCCAATACTGACTGCCTACTGAGACTGAGTATGGTTGATCAGAATCTGTGATACACAAGGGAACGATTAGAAGCCGACCACTCAGATGAGCCGGCTCCAGTATTAAGTGTGTTTCTTCAGACTGTAAATTATAATGATAACCAATAGCATTAAATACCTACTTCCTTCCTTCCTTCCCTTCACCTACATACATTCCAAGTTATACGCCGAGAAGCATAGTGAAGAAAGGTATACTACAAGGAATAATTAGTACGTTTACTAAGAGTTAAGTGATTTACTCTCTCTCTCTCTCTCCGTCTCCCTCACTCTTTCTCTCTGTCATTCTCGCATCCTTATAAGCCAACAGATAATGAATGATAAATACATATTAGAAGCCACCAACCAAACAACAAGCCAACCAACCAAGCAATATTAACCTCAAATCACCTTTCGAAGCCACTTCCACTGCTCTGTGATCGTCCAGTGTCTGGAACACCCGGGGAGAAATCACATGTGCTTCTGCATTCATTGCATTCCAGTTGTACTTGTCGCACGAATTGCATAGAATTGTTGGTCCACCCTCACTCCGAGGTGAAGCTGTTCGACCTACTTCCACGCCAACAGAATGATTCTCTGGTTTGATAACTGCAGTCTCAAGACTACAGTAATTGCAATCGCTCATAACTGAAGCGCTCCCATGGTCACCATTCTCCTCCGTCGATTGTTGATGCCTGAGCGTTTGGGTACCAGCGAGACATGGTCTTCCAATTGTTGAGGTTGCACAACGTGTGATTTGTCTTCTCTCCAAATCAACAACATTTTCATCATGAAGTATCTCAGAAAGGTCTGATTTATAGTCGGTCCGAAGTGATACCTCGCCACATCTCTCATCTACATGAAAAGACAATGGAGTAAGTACACTGGTAATTCCTTCATCATCAGAAAATAACCGGTTAGAATTAAGAAACACTCATATGAAGTGACAAGTTCAATTCCATCATAGTAACTCACCATAACGAGTTGAAGAGAACTGGGAATATTGTGTCATCTTTGTCCTCTGATGAGGTTTCATTATGAACACTAATATGAATGCAGTTGCATGCAGCTAGCAGTCCCTCTTGACAACAGACTGAGCTCCGGAGTTTACAGCTGGCTATCTATATCGAGGCCGAGCATTTCGCCACCTTGAGGCCTAACTTATCATTAGTGAGACGGATTAACTATGGCAAGAGGACCGATTCGGTTCTCAACAGTGTGTACCAGTGTGCAGTTTGGCTTGGTTCGCCTTAGCTTTTAGACGCGATGATTTTCGCTGTCAAGTAGGTCACATATTGTCACCTGGATACTTTTGGACTCCGACAACTCCATAATTTGCAGTTCTCGCCTACATTCTGAATAAGATCCCCACTGGTGAAAAGTAATTCTGATACGAAGAGAAGTGATGGAGTAGACTGATTGTGATCAGCTCCGTCTGGTGAAAATTTCCACAGTATTTATGCAGTCAGTTCACTAGCTTCCGAAGAATGTAACCGCAGAGTGTGATGCTGTCTACTGGCCGTTAACGCATCACTCGATGTAGTCACTTCACAAAACCGGTGTCTCTTCCCCATTTCTGTCGTTGTCAGCTCAGGTCGTAGGATGAAGAGATGACAGATAATTCCACAACCCGAATTTAAGCGAGACCAGATTGTCAAGATTCGTCTATCTTCATTTCAACAACTGAGTCTACGATTCCAAGTCTAATCAAAACATTTTCCCCCACTAATGGAGTCAGGTAGCCGAAGAATAATCCCATCACCAACCACCGAACCTTGTTTTGTAGTCTCGATCCCTGCACGAAAAGCTGAGTCTGTCTTATTCCTTCAGTGCGTTGAAATCCATCCGCTTATCGAATGATATACCACGATTAGGTAAACTGCCAAAATACTACAACCCAGCTAGAGTGGTAACCAGTCGGACTGAGTTTGGTCACATGAACAATGTGTATATGTGTATAATCGAGAACTGTGTCAGCTCTAAATGTTTTCGTCCACAGTCTACTCAGTATTATGACACTCTAACACAGAACAGGCTCAAGCCATAAACGTATACAGACACATCATTAAATAAGACAGTAAGGGAGGTCTCTAGAAAAAAGACAGTTATAGCCTCAATCCGGTAAGGAAATTGAATCGAAGGCGTGAATACATGAATAATAGTAATGACAATAATAATAATATGAAATACAATCAAAATATAT